CTGGGGCCCCCCCCGGGGGGGGCCGAGGGTGTTCGGGGGGCAATTGCGGAGCCCCGCATTTTGAAGCAATTGCATGTCTGAAACGAGAAAAAACACAAAAGTAGGATATAACGCCGGAACAAATTCAGAAAACAGCCCGACTTGAAAGGTTTTGGTTTTTTCTTGAGGTTTGCTGGGGGGGGTCCAGAAATAGCCTTGTTTGAAATTGTGGGCCCCCCGAACCCCCGAAAAAAACGTAGGAAAAATGCCCGAATTGGCAAGTCGCTCTGTGGTTTTCCGGAGATTTCTGAAATAGTATTGTGTTGAAGCGTGGGGCCCCAGAATCCTCGGAATAAGAAAAACAAACACAAACATACAAACAAACACGAATTGGGTGATTTTGCTATGGTTTTTTCCCAGTGGAAAAAAAACGCCCCAAAAAACCCAGACATAAAAAACACATTGTTTTTGTTTTCTTCCTGGAGTTTCCCGCTGAATTGTCTGAAGTTGTGTCGTTTGTACATGTGGAGCCTCAGAACCTCCGGAAACACACCGAACAAAAAACAAATCCTTGTTGGGGGGTTTTCGGGGTTCCCTTCCCAGAGAAACGTCAGAAAAGAAGCAGAACAACTTGTGAACAACCCGTGAGTTGGGAGGTGTCCTGGCGGGTTTTTTGGAGTCGGTTTATTTCTGTGTGTGGGATCGCAGAATCTTATGAAAAATGATTTGTTTAATACATATATCAATATATAAATTTTGGTTGTTTCGCCCCCCCCCGAAAGAAGAACAACAAAAACCTTAAAGAAATATTCGAACAAAAACCAGAGTCGTTTGTTTGATTTGTTTCTTGGGGTTCTCGGGGACTTGCCTGAAATAGTATTGTTTTAATTGAGGGGCCGAGAACCCACCCAAAAAAACAAAAACAACCCTCGAGCTTGTTTTTTTTCGGGTGGTTCCCCCTCCAGGAAAACAATCGAACTATCACCGGAAAACTCAAGAAAAACGCCCGGGTTGAGTTTTTGTTTCTTTCTGATGGTTTCCCGGGGGGGGCTCTGGAATAGTATTGTTTTTTTTTTGCGCAGCCGGACAGCTGCAGAAAAACCTCCGGTATTGGGAGTTATTCAGGGGTTACCCTCCTGTAGATCTAAACATCAATATATACATATAGTTATTATATATAACATATATATATATATACATACGCATCCGGGTTCAATTTTTTGTTTGAGGGGGTCTTCCCTGGAAAACCACAGAACAAGGATCGAGTTGGGTTTTTGTGTCCTGGGGTTTCCCCCGGAAGCCCTCAGCAAACAAAAACACCGCAACACTTTTGAACAACCACAAAACGAACCTCGAGTTGGGGGGTTTCCGGGGAGGGGTTAGCCGGAAACCCGGGCCCCGGAAACCTTCCAAAAACCCCGCTCCCCCCCCCTGGGATCAATTGGGGGTTCTTGCGGGGGGTTCCTGGGGGGGTCCAGGGATTTCCCACACCGTTCTCGGTATTAGAAAGGGTGCTGGTGCTTGTTGTTTTTACGAATGAGGTGGCAGTTTCTGGTGATGATGAGGAGGAGGAGTAGAAGGAGGAGGAGGAGTGGGAGGAAGAGGAGGAAGAGGAGTTGGAGGAGGAGGAGGATGAGGAGGAGGAGGAGGACAAGGAGGACCAGTGTAAACCGAAGAGTCATCAACGATGTCGGAATGAACCCTCCCTCCAAGCTCCTTCTCCATAGGCCCCCACAAGGGTTCTTTACACTGAGGGAACTGCCACGTTGGGAAGCAACCGATTGAAGACCCTGAAGCATGCCAAACCCTTTTCCTCGGGATTCCAACGCCACGGATCAATATGATTGTTGCGTCTTGACGATCGGGAATGGTGCAAGAACGCCATTCTTGGGACTTCAACACCGAGAATCAATGTAACTGCTGCGCATTCATAACTTGGAATCCTTCCAAAACGCAGTTCTGGTACGTTGATCATGGGAAACCGTGAAAGTCTGGCACATGTTAAAAACGAATATGCGCGGCGCTCAGGCGAGAACCACATTCTGAAAGGGAACCGCCCTCAACCCGTGAACCGATTGCATTTGTTCAACGAATGTGTCCGACACGAAAGCGACAGCCGCATGTCGAAACCACTTGCCCTCAATCCGTGGAGCGCCTTCATTTTTTGCAACGAATGCGCGCGGCGCTGAGACGAGAACCACATGTTGAAAAGGAACCGCCCTCAATCCGTGAAGCTCTTGCAATTTGTTGGGGGAAATGTGCGCGGCGCTAAGACGCGAACCACATTTCGATCAATTTTCCTTCAAACCGTGACAAGTCTTGCAAGTTGTTTAAAGAGACGTGCGCAGCGCTAAGGGGATAGCAACAGTGTGAAAACGACCCGCCGTCCATCCGTGAAGCTGCTTCAGGATCATATATGGTGAGGAAGTCTCAGGCGAAACGTCCAGCCCGCCCTGAAAACTGGCCCCGGGGTGCGACAGGGAGAGGTTCATTTCAAGGAAAAGGAATGGAGGAGGAGGAGGGGGAGGAGGAGGGAGGATGAGGAGGAGGAGGAGGAGGAGGAGGAGGAGGGCGAACGTTTAGGAACGCTTAGCTGACCAGAAGTCCAGTCGGGGCCCGCAGCGCAGCCAGGAAGAGCTAACACCGCACACGGAACAGAAGCCCCGTATGCGACCTTAGCTCGCCCAGGCCTCTGTTGCGGGTCCCTCTTGGGGACTGGTGTTTGGTAGAGCTGCGGTGGCACCGACGCCGTCCAGCGGCCGATCGCGGCCACGATGCCGTCGCCCCGTGCGCCCGCCACGAGGAGGAGGGGGAGGGGAGCGGGGCGGCCACCGACGGCCCGATCAGGCCGTCCGCAGTTGGTCCTTTAAGGCCCGACAGAGCTCCTTGACGAGGCCTGCGCCGATGATGACACCGATGGCCACGTCGCGGCAAAACACCGCCTGCTCCAGCAGGAGGAGCTGTGCAACTCCGACTCCGCGTGCGCCACCGTCGCGCGCTCCAGGACATTCTCCAGCGACGTCCCTCGACTTCCGCCGAGGAACCCACCGGCTCCATCGAGTCGTCCGCCATCTCGACCGAGTCCACCAGCTCCGACGAGTCCGCTCGGGCCAAGCTGTCGACCTCCGTGGGGGAGCCGTCCGTAGCCTCGGGAGCCTTCGTCTCCTCGCGCATCTCGGTGCCGTTCTGGGTCACCTCCGTGTCGAGCCGAGTGCTATCCAGAACCTGCGTGGCTTCGGCGGTCTTCACGACCACGTCCCCCGAAGCCATTTCCGCAGTTTTCCGTAGTTCGTGACCGACACCATCTCCTCCTCCTCCTCCTCCTCCTCCTCCTCCTCCTCCTCCTCCTCCTCGGTGACCCTGCAGTCGAGACCGCGCATGATGTCCTCATCGTCGTGAGCTCGCCCATCTTGTGGAACCGAGTGTTCTTCAGAACCAGCACGTCTCCGTCGCTCAAGGCCGAAACCAACACCTTCACCTCATCGTTGGTTTCGAAAACAGGGCCGCACCTGATGTCTGAACCCCTCATGGTCATCCCTTTGTGGAGCCGAGTGTTCTCCAGGCCGCGCCCGCAGCCCGCGCCATCAGCCCCCAGCCTCACCACGGCAGGGGGTGGAAGCAAAATGGCCGGGGCTCCCAGGACCAGAATGTCTCCGTCGCTCATGGCTGACACGAACTCGTTCATTTCATCGGTGGCCTTGCAGTCTGGGGCATGCTTGATGCCCTCCTTCATCTGCTCCCCCAGCTTCTTCACCACTGGCTTCAGCAAGAGCTCGCACTTTTCCCGCTGTTGTCCCCCGTGACCGCCTTCCGCACTGGGGCCGTCTTCACGATGGCCACCTCGGCGCCTCCGCCTGTGCGGAGCTGGCGGCTGCAGTCCTCCAGCCTGCCTTCGACCGTCTCGCACTCATGGGGGCCTCCCGAGAGCGCCTTCTCACAGCCGTGGGGCACCTCGGACTTGTCCACGTCGATCTTCTTGTTCTCCAGCCCAGCCGAGCTACATTCCCCGCCGTAGGCCGTAGGGCACGGCGGGGTTGCTCTCGCGAGGGCGCGCCTCCTGCTCAGAGGCCAACCCGTGCGCTGCGAGCCACCCGTCGAGTCACCAGTCGCTGCGAGCCACCCGTCGAGTCCGCTTGGTCCAAGAGATCCGCCTGCTCGGACACGTCCGCCGTCTCGATGGAGTCCACGTCCGTGCGCCGGCATCTGCGGCCTCGTTGCCCCCGCCTCTTCTTCTTGGGCGGTAGGCCGAGCACACCAGCGCCCTCGCCGAGCTCGACGTGGGCGGCGAGGTTGCGGTCCAGGCGCACGGCTCCTGGCACTGGCCGCCCAGAGACCTAGCGCCCGCTCGATCGCCTGGAACCGCGCCGAGACTTCAGCTGGCCCTCCTCGTCGAGGAGCGCCGCCTTCTCCGCCTCCTGGGGCGTGGTGCCGCGCTCGCTCTGGCCCAGCAGCATGGCGACAGTGCGGAGGGCTGCAGCGACGGCGGCCGCCACGCACTGCCGTCCGCCTCCGCTCTCAGCCGCACCCGCCGCCGCCGCCCGAGCCACAGGGGTGAGCGCCGCCACCAGGTCCCCGCAAGGGGGCGGGGCCGTAGCCGCGCTCGGGGCCATGGCCGCGGCGAGAGGGGAGGCGCTTCCCCTTGAAGAGAGAGGCCACGAACCAACGATGCCGCCCGCCTGGCGCCCAAGGCAGGCTTGAGCCAAAATGGCTACGGAAGGAGGGGGAGGAGGAGGAGGAGGAGGAGGAGGAGGAGGAGGAGGAGGAGGAGGAGGAGGAGGAGGAGGAGGAGGAAGAAGAAGAAGAAGAGGAGGAGGAGGAGGAGGAGGAGGAGGAGAAGAGGAGGAGGAGGAGGAGCACGAGGAGGATCATCAGATGGTGAACTGACGTGTGGAGGGGGATGCTTGTACTGGGGGGAATGGGTGGGGAGGAGGTGGTGAGTGATGGGGGATGTTCGGGGGGAGGAGGGAGCAGGAGAAAGAGCAGGAAGACCGTTGGGCGGTCCTCGGACGCCACCCGCGCAGGTCGGCTGAAGAACGTGGCCATGGAAGGCGACTGGAGGGGCGTGGGCGAGCTCCTGGAGCAGAACGCCGACCCCAACGTCGAGGACGAGAAGGGGAAGCTGGCGCTGCACGCCGCGGCGTTCACGGGCAGCGTGGAGGTTCGCCTGGTAACCAGGAGCGAAACATCTGTATAACCACAACCAAGACACATATTTAAAATAGTTGGAAATGAGGGACACGTACGCGAAAAAGAACATCGTGGACATGTTGATATTTATATGAGTTCCTGGAGTTTGTGTCAGTGTGTGTTGAGTCGTGTGTGTCCCCCTGGGCCCCTTGAGATGTCCCTTGAGCTCCTCTGAGGTCCCTGGGGGCTGCCGGAGGCTTCCGAAGCCTCTACGCGAACCTTTTTTCGAGGCCAGACCAGAAACCTTCCCCCTTGACCGTCTCAAGCCCTTCCCCCCAAACCAGCATTTTGCTAACCAGGACTTTGATCATTCCACCTGGAGGATCAGAGAATGGAGAACCATGTCTTGTCCCACGGCTGCAGATGTCTCAGGTGTGCCATAGAGTTTTGGTTCCTGGAAGTCTCCGCTTAGATGGCTTTGGCCCTCGATGGTCGAGGGCAGAATTTGGCAGGTGCGCTGTGTGCTTGCCTTGACACAAGCGGGGGCTTGTGCCGCGCGGCCCGGAGAGAAGCGGGCCCCGAAGTTTTGCTTGTGCGTTTCTGGGCTGTCGGGCTGAAGAGCTGGCCCTGTCCGAAAACGACTCGGACGGAAGAGCTGGCCCTGGAAGAAGGCCCCGGGGCCCAGGACCCGCTTCCCGCAGGACCCGCCTGCTCAAAGCTAAATCCAGGCATCGGACGTCGTGGTCTTTTCCGCAGCGTGGCTCCGCCGAGGTCTGGACCCATTCCCTGGACCAGCTTCTCCTCCTGAGTCTTTTTGTTCATGGTCCTGGCGCCCACCGAGGGCCCCCAGAGGTTGAAAATAGCAAAAACACATCAATTTTTTATCACAACGAGAGAATGTCTGGGTTCGCCTCATGCCACAGGTGCTCCGGCGGTTGCTGGAGGCGAGGGCGGACGCCAACATGTCCGAGAGCAGCAGCGGGGACAGGCCTCTGCAGATCGCGGCTTGGCAGGGGCACCGGCAGGCGGTGGACCTCCTGCTGGACCGGTCCGCCAATACGGACGCCCCCGACGGCAGGGGTTGGACGCCGCTGTGCAGCGCCGCCAGCCAGGGGCACACCGCCATCGTGCAGGCTCAGGGGAGGAACAGCTATTTGTACCGATTCCGCTACCCTTCCCTCGCTTCCGCCATCACGGCTGGATTCGCCTCGGAATTCGGTCAACGTACCCTGGGAGAGGTCCAGGGAGTAGCGGTATCGCTATACCTTTTGATTTCCCCGCAGGCGTTGCTGGCCCGGGGGGCCGACCCGAACAAGAAGGTCACGGTGGAGAGGTGGGGGAGCGTGGCGCCCCTGGAGGTCGCGAAGGCGCAGAGACACAGAGACATCGTGGAGGCGCTCCAGGCGGCTCTCGCGGCGAGAAAGGACAAGGCCTCTGCGTCGTCGCTGGCCGCCGCGATATTGCCGGCGCCCGGCGCCAACGGCGCGGGCGCGATCGCCGCCAACTCTCCCGCGGCAAGGGCTGGTCGGGCAGGCCATCTGTCGCGGCTGTGCGCCGGCTGCTGCTCCATCTGCGGCCCGGCGACGCCAGGGACAAGGCGGTGAGGCCGTGCGGCGGGCTGTCCTGGCATTTCGCGGGGCGCGGCCGGCTTCTACCTGTGAGAGCTGGCGGCCCCCTACGCGCGGACAGCGCCTTCGCGCCTGGGCTGTCCGTAGGCCTGCAGGCCGGGGCGGCGGGTCGGGTCCTCGGGAAAAAGGGCACCATGCAGAGACGGCCAGCTTCTTTCTGTAGTTGCCCCCTCTTGGCTCGTTGATCGGATGCGGAGGGGTGCTATTACGGTGGGAGTTCTGCACATACTCCTACGAGCATCGCCTGTGTCTACGGCAGCGTGTCTTGTCATTGCCTCTTGGCTAGAGCATTGCTCAAATAAATCGCTGAAGCTACGAACTACGAGTCCGAGTAGCGCGCCGAAGTTACCCATTAGAGGCTCGAGTGCGCAACATCTGGCAGCCAGATTCACAGCATGGTGTCATAACTAGTTCAGAAAGGGACTTTCGACGAGGGAGTGGAGGAGGGTTTACTCTCCATCTCCGCGGCCGCTGTTCGAATGCCCGAACAAGCCAGTGGAATTTCAACGACGGCAGTCCCCAGCGGATGCCGCGCGGAAGTTTGGCGGAAGACGGCGGAAGAAAGCCATGTGTCGCAGCCGAAGCTTTCGCACTCGCTGGGGCAATGTTCCAGCTATGAGCGGGAGTCTCGGGCGTTTCATTACCAAACCCTGGCTGGGTCCCCGGCCGATTGAACATTTAAATTAGCCTGGCGAAAGACCCAACCATATGCAGCTGCGAGTACCGCGCAGGATATGAGATGAGGGAGGGGGGGCACGCAAGCTACGAGTAGCGCAAGGCATGCCCCATCTTCTCACAGGCACCGCGCCACTGCATGGACGAGGCACAGGGCAGCGCGGGCAGGAAGTGGCTGGCGGAGGAGGGGGTCTAAGCGGGGCGAGCCACCGCATCAGCATCAGCGCATCTTGAGACCTGTTACGGAACACGCAGGAAAAGTTACGGAGACACCGCGTAGATGTCAGAGGCACGTGGGGCAGAAACGAAGCGAAGGCAGCAGAACGAGCGACAGACGAGGGGTGACATGTTTGCCTCCGAGCCGATGGCGAGCCACGCAGAGTGCACCGCGCAGGCGGCGCCGCGCGAAAGTGGGCGGGGAGTCCCCGCCGACGCGGTCTGGTCATCCCGAGGGAGTCCCATCGACGCGCGGGGGTCGTCCACTGCGACTCAGAGTAAACGCATGGCGCCCCCGTACTGCGCGGCGAGGCGATGCGAAAAGGGCACGATCTGGGCGGAATCTCCCCGACAGACGCCGGTCATCCTCTGGCGAGGAATTCCGACGACGAGCTGGGGTCATCCAAGCGTCTGCGACAGCCAGAGCGCCAGCCGCCACGGCGGCCCCTCAGATCAGGCCTTGCGGATGAACTCGCTGGAGCCCAGCTCCCTTTGACAGTTACCTCGCCTTCCCTTGCGCTGGTTCGCGCGCGTCGCGAACCTGGTCGGCGACCATTTCTGGATCGCCGAAAACGCTCGAGACGGTGTCGCCCTTCGCGCAGGCGCATGTGAGCAGCCGGCCCCCCGGCAGGACTGCGTCGACTCTCCCAGCACCGCGCCCGAACTGGCCCTCTTTCCAAGCCAGTTTCAGATCACGCCAAATCGTCTTCAGTGTAGTTTCGGACGAGACTGAGGTCCTCCAGCACTCCTCGCCGCTCGCTGTCCGGAATATCATTGCGAGGTCCTCCAGCGTCGCCTGCAGCAGCATCGAGGGTGGCGCCGCAGCAGCGAAGGCGGTGCCCGGGCCCGGGGCACGAAATGCGATGTCCTGGTTGTTCGCGGACAATCCGCAAACCACAATGTTCCCGTCACTTGTGTTGCATATGGTATACTTCGCCCCGGCCGCGACATGCGTGTAGGTGACGCCCTCACTCAGAGGTGGGATGTTGCACTGCCCCCAGTCATTGCTGCCGCAAGCTGCTGCAGTCCCATCGCTGCGCATCAGCACCGAGTGCTTCCACCCGGCTGCGACCTCCGTGAACTTCACGTTATCCTCGAGATCGGGTAGGTCGCACTGGCCCGCGTCGTTCCTGCCCAAAGCGTGGGCAGTGCCGTCGTCACCCAGTAAGACCACGTGATTTGACGTGCTGATTTGCACGATGGTCCGATGGACCTCCCACTCGCAGATCTCCTCGCCCTGCGGATGGATGATCTGCAAGATGCCGTCGCGAAGGATCCCGATTGCATCGCCCCAGGCCGCGATTAGGAAGTCCACCACTCCCTCGCTGATACTAAGGGGGCTGAGGCGCTCGTCCTCGCATGCCAAGATCACGCCGTCGCATCACAACATCACCGTGAAGTGCGCCCCGGCAGCGATCTGCGTGAAGTGGAAGTAGTCGTCGCGAACGACGCCGAGTAGCTGTACGACATCCTTTCTAGATATCGCCAGGGTGACGGAGTAGATGTGCACCTCTCCATCGGCGCTGAGTAGTGCGACATGTTGCTCTCCCACAGCAACCCGTGTGAATGCAGCGCAAGATGTCGGCGGCCTCACCACCTTGGCGGAGTGGTCAACTGCCGAAAACAGGAAGGCTGCCCCGTCATTCATCAGGAACGACATGCGCTTCCAATGCGCGGCAGCGGCCACCCTGGCAGCAAGCTCCGTAGCAACCGCTACGCCCGAGGTGGGGGGCCCACTGACTACCTTTGACAGGGTCGAGCCTGAGCGGCTTCGTGAGACCTGTTACTGGGCACGCAGGAAAATGTCACGGAGAAGCCGCGCGAATGTCAGGGGCAGCTCAGCAGCGGCAGAAACGAGACTGGGGGGCGCGCGGTCAAGAAGCGAAGGGAAGCAGGACAAGCGAGAGACGAGGGGTGACATGTTTGCCTCCGGGACGATAGCGAGCCACGCAGAGTGCACCGCGCAGGCGGCGCCGCGCGGGGGTGGCTGGGGAGTCCCCGCCGACGCGGTCTGGTCATCCCGAAGGAGTCCCATCGACGCGCGGGGGTCGTCCACTGCTTGTCAGAGCAAACAGATGCGCTGCCGTACTGCGCGGTAAAGCGGCGCGAAGAGGGCGCGATCTGGTTGAAATCCCCCGGCAGACGCCGGCCATCCTCTGGCGAGAAATCCCGACGACGAGCTGGGGTCATCAAAGCGTCAGCGACAGCCAGCGCGCGCCGCTGGCTCGCGCGGGGCCGCCCAGGTCAGGCCTCGCGGATAGCCTCGGTGAAGCCCAGCTCCTCGGCGAGGGCCGTCGCCTCCCTCCTGCACCGCTTCGCGCGCGTCGCAAACTGCTCCAGCTGCTTCCGCAAGCCCGCCGGCGGCCCTGCCGGGAAGAACTCGATGCGCGGCGCCCGCGCGAGCAAGAGGCCCCCGTGGCGCGTGGCGCGCGAGAGCAGCGCGTAGAGCACCAGCCACCAGTCGTCGTCGTCCTTCTTGCCGTTCCCGACCTCGTGGCGGCCGCAGTCCAGGATCACGCCTGGGCGGCGTCGGCCGGGTGAGCAGTGCGCCGGACAGTCGACGGCCTAGGGCGAGAGTCCACAGGACCGAGAGAAGGTCCGGCTGCGGACCGCTCGCGCCCGGAAGGTTCGGCCGTAGACTGCCCGGTGGCGCCGCCCCCCCGCCCCGTCGCCTTCCCGCGTGGTGCGCCCCTGGCACGCCACCGCGGTGATGACCCTGCCGTGCGGAAACGCGAAGCCCGTCCGGGTGACCTTGGAGGCGCGGAAAGTGAACGGCTCCGACGTACGGGGCTCGATGAACACCGGCGGGCCCGCGAGGTCTCCCGTGAGGCTGTCGTCGTGGCGCTTCAGGTCGTCCACGAAGGGCGCGCTCGCGTACTTCTCCATGCGCACCCAGAACCCCAGCGGCAGGCGCTTCAGATAGATCCTCTTCTCTCCGTCCCTCTCGGCTCTCTCGACGTCGCCCCGATCCCGAGGGTCCACGACGATGTGCACGATCTGCCCCTCGGCGTCCCTGACGAGGCCGTTCTTGAGGTCGAGCGCCTCCAGGAGCCGGATCCGCATGCCCACGTGCACCGGGAACAGTCCGTGCATGCCGCCGGTGTTCTTCGGGCTGGCACAGTTCATCATCTTGGCCGCGTCCTTGACATTCATCGTCGGGGCAGACCTGTCGGCGGCCTGCACGAGGAAGAGGGGCTTCTTCAGGACGTCCGCGCCCCGCTGTGCACGCATGTTCATCCACCGCGCCACAGTGTCCCAGTAGGACCCAATCATGTGGCCGTTCTGGAACCTTTCCTCCCGGAGCCTACGATCATCGGGTTTCAGCTGCATGGCGTTCCACGTGGCCCGGGTGGCCGGAGGGACCTGCTTCCCCGGTTTGCGCAGGAACGCCATGAGATCCCTGAGCTTCGTGTCCTTGAAGCGGTTGGACGCCTGTAGCTCGAAGCACAGCGGCGTGTTGCAGAACATCTTCATCACGGCCTGGTACTCTGGAGCGAGGTTGATGCCCGCCGCCGCAAGTTCCTCGAAGCTGGAGATGAGCGACACTTTGCCTCCTGTCGGCTTCAGCTGCAGGAAGTCTCCCAGGTGGATCACGATGGGCACCCGGCCGAAGGCGCCGCCGACCTGGTCGTACTCCCGCTCCTCCGCGCCCCTCTCGGCTTTGCGTCCCAGGTAGGACCGGAATGCCAGCATGTTGTACAGGTTGGGCGAGATCATGCTTACCTCCTCCAGGATCAAGCACCTGGCCGCCTCCCACGTGTCCTGTAGCGCTTTCAGCTTGCCCCCCGCGGGCATGTCATTGTTCCTGAAGGACTGCGCTCCTATGAGCCCCGCCTGGTGGCAACTGACGGCCTTGTGAGCGTCCGTGGAGATGTTCGCGGCCTGAGACCACTTCGCGCAGACAATATGCGTGGACTTCGCCTTGCCCGGCTCCACAGGTAACAGCGCGTCCATGGCCGGCAGCACGATCTCCTGCACCATGGCGGTCTTCCCGCTGCCGCCCTGGCCGAGGAGCAGGAACTGGAACGTCTTCCGCTTCGCGTGCTTGGCCATGCTGCCGTCCTCGATCTTCTGTTCCTCGTCCCACACCACCTTGCAGGCGTTCGCGAACGCCGTGACGAACAGTGCCTGGTCGGGCTTCACCTCGAGGACGGCGCTCCTGGTGCCCCGTCCCCGGGTTGACCGCGCCGTCCTCGAACTTTTTGACGAGGCGCTTGACGAAGTCGCTGGGCC